ATATAGCAGGGTCTCCATCTGAGGGAACAAGTACCAGGTACATCCCATCAAATTCTATGACCCTTCCCTGTGCTAGTAGGGGGTGCTTGTTGCCAGTATCTCCTTCCTAACAATGTTATAATATGATTTAATGTTGTGCACACGCATTTCAAACTACAATTCCATTTCATTCTAAAAGTGTTGCATATCCAATCTACAGACACCAATTTCATGTCAATTATCAAGCAAAATACATTTAACACATACTAAAAGCTGAGCCATTAATTGACAGTTCCACTAAGTGCCTTTTTTTTAACCTTAATCTAAGATCACTTACACGAGTGTAACTCCATTGATTTCTAAGGAAATTAATCCTACTTCATACCTCATATCGCTAACTCACCAAGCCAGACTAGGTGAACCAGACTGTCCAGTGACTCTATCTTCTCAATGATGTTGTTGTCTAGCTGTAGTTTAGTCAGATTCACAAACTGCCATAGGTTGTCGATCTTTAGGATATCTAACCCAGAGAAAAAAATACTGCAGTTCACATACACCAGACTTCAGTTGTAACACAAACCCCACATTGTACTAGTGACATATGCCCAATATTACCTCTGTGAGCAAATTATGACAGTGCACTCATTTATGCAGAGCACCAGGGAGACTGCAGAAAGATCCTCAGGCTAGAGGAGGGTTTAGATTGAAACAGCTGTGATAATCTCATTGTCTTGCACTGCTAATCAGTATTGCCAGGGTGCCATTGAAGGGATGCTGACTGCAAACTGCAGTCAAGAGTCGCTTAATAGATTCACTACAAGAAGCAATACACTTGACCTCCACTTTGATTTCCAACTCAAAGAATGACACTTGGAATGAGACAGTACTTGCCTCTGAAGTGGCAGGCTACTTGTGGGTAGTAGCTACCCTATCACATTATAAAGTTACCCCACATTCTGTAATGCTCTCCACCTGCTGAGGATATGGAATAATCACAAGATGGAACTACTATGAGAACTACAATTCAGTTTTTAATGCATCCTACAGTCTTCTGTCTGTCTGGAGTCATGGTGATGGTCATTTCTCTCCTCTTTATACAAGTGGAAGTCAAGATGAAAAGTAGAAGTAGAAATACAGAAGAGAAAGATCACACTTAAAGTATTCTTTGACCACATATAAGTATTTTTTTAACATTTAGGCATGCAACTGCATGTGAAAACATGCACACAACTGCACTCAATCTGCAAAGCAAAGGCAAGCACAAGTCAGGAAATGGTATATGAAAATAACCAGAAGTCCTCATTAGCACACACAGTTACCTCACTGGCATGGACACAACCACAGTAGCCCCAAACATATAACATCTATTTATTGGGTCAAACAATTAAAATAACTAATCATGATTAATCATGTGATTACAAAATTAATTGCAATTAATCAAGGGATTAATCTCACTCAAATATGTTGATTTAAATTACAACACAGAATACAAAGTGTACAGTGCTCATTTTATTTTTTAATACAAATTAGGGATTTAAAATCCCATGTAAACTGTTAACCAGTAAACTATAGATTTAACCGGTTAAATGCTCTCTGTGCCATGGGTGAGTGGGAGGCACTGGACAAGGCCTGCTGCACTGTGCTCTAAGCAGGCGGTTACTTTGAGGCTGCAGGGGCTGTTCCTGTCCGGCCAAGCTGGAGTGCCCCTTGCCAGCAGGTAAGCACAGTGGGCCCAGTCAGGTCGGACAGGACTCACTATGGGCAGGAGGCTGCTCCAGTCCAGCTAGGCTGGAGCGCTCCCTGAAGTGCAAGGCAGCACAGAGGGTCCATTCAAGGTAGGGAAGGCCCGCTGCACTGCACCACCCTGACTGGAGCAGCCCCCCACCCGTGGGCCAGGTGCTGCTTATCAGGGTAACCAGTTAACCATGCCAGTAAGGCAATGCTTACCAATTAACTGGTTAAACCTTTACATTCCTATTACAAATACTTGTACTGTAAAAAACAAAATAAATAGTATTTTTCAATTCTCCTATTACAAGTACTCTATCATGAATGTTGAACTTTCAGCTATGGAATTATGTACAAAAAGTAACTGCATTAGAAAAGAATACTTAATGTAAAACTTTAGCGCCTACAAGTCACTCCCCCACACCACCTCTGGAATGTACCTAACCCTGCAATGGGAAGGGCAATGTATAGTTCAGTCTCCTTTGCTAATTAAATCCTTGTCCCTTCTGAACTGGACAGTGTCTGCCAAACTATTAAAGTCTATCAAATTAGGACAATATGTGGTCACCACAAGCTCGTGTTGGATTTGATTTGGCCTACCACAACAGGACCTAGCTTAGCTGTGGCCACTGGGTGCCACTGCAAGATATGTTAAATCATTATAGTAATAACTAATAATAAAGAGTTGAGAAGCTTTATAGCCCATTACCATTCAGCAAAGCCATCCTGCCTGCAGAATGGTAAATATTTCATATGCTTACAGCTAAAAATGTAAGTTTAGTCACTTGGGGTATGTCTACTCACCAGCATTATTTCATTTCAAAATAATAAAGAGCGTGTCTATACTGCAAGCCATTATTTCAAAATAATGGTGAGCTGGAGGACTTTTTACTCCGATACTTGTAACCCTCATTTTACCAGGAGTAAAGGACTTCCTGTTGAGTAAACAGTGCCAAAAGCCGAATTAAGCTATTTCGACTTCAGCTATACAACTGACGTACCTCAAGTTGCGTAGCTTAATTTGACTTTTGCTCTTCTGTGTAGACATGTCCCCACTCTTTACATGACAAATACCAGGCTAGTCATGATTAACTGTCAATCAGTCACTTTAAATAAGGGATATGAATGGGTGATGCTTACCGGACACCTGAGAGTGGCCCACTGAGGCGGGAAGGGCTGCTTCAGCCCTGCAGGGGGGTCAGGAGCTAGCAGCCTGCTCCTGCCCCTCCTCCCCACCACTCTGCCCCTGCCCAGTCTGGGGCAGCCAGTGGCCTTGCTGCCAGCCAGGGGGCCAATCAGTGTGATCCCGCACTATGATCCTGTGCTTAATCAGTTAACTGGTTAAGCCTAGTGTGTAACCGATTAACTGGGATTTTACATCCCTCCTTAAAAATACAATTATAGTTTAATTTGAAAAAAATCGGATACTTACTTCTAAAATCAAGCTGTAGCTCTAAAACATCTTTATAATCAATGCCTTCCCTTTTGGCAAGCTGCCCTAATTCCTCTTGGGGGCCTTGCTCTTCCACAGCTTTTTGAAGCATCTTTTCATCAATCACATTTGGCTCTATGCTATCATATAACCGACTCATTTTCATGCGAAATAGGCCTTCAAGAGCAGAACAAACAATATCTCACAATTACCTTTTCCAGTGAAATGCACGCAGTATACAGAGAAACAATAGTACAGTGGGATATTCAAAGAGCGTAGGCCTGCGCTATGGAACTCAGAGTTATTAAACTTTCCTAAACAGCTACCCAGAGCAGAGCAAAAAGATTGCCAAATGCGTGGTCCTCATATCATGTACATAGAAAACCTGCATTGAAATTTAAGGAGAAATGTCCATGCAGAATTGCAGCATTGGGCACAATGAGAGGAAGTGAGTGAAAGGGACTGTCTCTTCCCATAAACAACGAGCAGTTGCCAGAACTTTCAACACCCATCTCACTACAAAGATCTAGGGGTGAAATTTTCCCTAGTGCAGAGTACGTACAAGCCTCTATGTTGAGCTTTCTCAATGGGGTGAATTTCACCTCCTGATAAAGACTAGACGTACCAGGTACATGTGCATGTGAGAATTACCAGGAACAGGGTCTAAACTTTCATTGCCAATCTGATGCAGTGGCAAATGCTGGCATCACTCAGACTGTTTGTGGAGGGAAATGTACACACATTAGCAAGACTAGCTTGCAGTATAGCCATCTGCCGAGTTGCTCCCCATTCTGCTGAACAACCATCCATCCACTCATTGCCCTGCCTGTCACACAGCTACTTGTCCACCTATCCATTCAGGCTGCCACTCGCCCAGCTTGCCCCACAGCTCCTGCCCATCTACTGGTGCAGCCTACCCCACAGCCACCTATCCATCTGCCTGCCCAGCCAGCCCCACAACTACCCACCCATCTGCCCATCCAGCCTGCCCCACAGCCACCTATCCATCTGCGCGCCCAGCCAGCCCCACAGCCACCTATCCATCTGCGCGCCCAGCCAGCCCCACAGCCACCTATCCATCTGCGCGCCCAGCCAGCCCCACAGCCACCTATCCATCTGCGCGCCCAGCCAGCCCCACAGCCACCTATCCATCTGCGCGCCCAGCCAGCCCCACAGCCACCTATCCATCTGCGCGCCCAGCCAGCCCCACAACTACCTGCCCAGCCTACCCCACAACTACCAGCCCATCTGCCCGCCCAGCCTACCCCACAACTACCTGCCAATCCAGTCTGCCCCACAGCCACCTATCCATCTGCGCGCCCAGCCAGCCCCACAACTACCTGCCCAGTATTCCAGCAACCCTCCAGCCACTGCTCCCCCCCAGAAGCTCAGCCGGCCGCCCAGCCCGCTCGCCAGCCGGCCGCAGGCCCAGGCGGCCAACCACAGGCCCGGCCACGCAAAGCCCACGGTGCGGAGCCGGTGGAGGACGCAGAGGCTGGCGAAGGCCCCCACGCACTCCCCGTGGCACCCGGACATCCAGCCCCACACGCAGCTGCAGAGACACTCGGACACCCACGGGACCCGCCACCTCGCCCCTCGCCGCGGGCACTAGCGCTCGCTGCTAAGGAAACAGGGGCTGTTGCTAAGCAGAGTCACGTGATCGCAACCCCCCACCGCGCGCTCTCTGTCAGGTGACAGGCCGCATCTTCCAACCGCAGCTCAGTTTGGTGGTGACTTGTAAAACTGAGTCTAAAGCTCCTCCGCCAATCAAAACGCGAAGCAGCAGTTTAGACCAATTAGAGTCAGCCTCTGCAGCTAGTGGAGGCTGGAACTTCAGCTGACGAGTGTGGCCATTGCCCAATAGAATTGGGCAATTGATGGGGCGTTGTCCAATGGTGAGTGTGTCGGTAGGGGGGATTCCTGCCCCTCATGTGTCACTCAATACGGGGAGCGAGGGTGGTGATTGGAGGAGAGGACAGGAAGGCAGGACCGACAGTGATTGGCATGCTCAGTCTCCAATGCGATCGAGGGAGGTGGGCTTCCTGACCAGTGGAGCTCAGTGGGCGGGCTGATGACGGTGGCGGAGTCCCTGATTGGTCAGTGAGGGTGTCGGTCAGAGCGGGGAGGAGGCCGCAGGGCTGGATCGAAAAGGCCAGGCCGGGCCGGACCGGCTGTTTGTTGTCATCCCAAGATGGAGTTTCTGCTGGGGAATCCGTTCAGCACCCCGGTGGGGCAGAGCTTGGGTGAGGGGGGGGCATGGGGCATGGGCGGGCC